TGTCTTCCACAATTAGTTCATGAGACTTCCAGGACCACTGTTGCCAGTGCATGTATTTAGTGTGGTTTTCTTCTCAAATGCTTAGCTTTTTGCCCATCTGCAGCCATTTTCTCTCTGATCCCTATTTCCTTCCTGGTTGTCTTCCTCTGAGCTCAAATGGTCCATAGCGTTCTGTTCCCATGAATGTATGTGTGTTTGTACGTGTTTCTCTGTTTATGTGAGACTGTGTGCGTGGCTGTGAATATTTTAGTGTGTGTGTGTGAGTATGTGACTGTCTTAGTACATTTGGGTGTGTTTCTGTGTGTGTACCGGTGTGTGTCTGCATGTGTGTGTGTGTGACTGTGTATGTATGTGTGTGCTTGTTTCTGTGTGTGTCTGTGACTGTGTATGTCTGTGTGCTTATTTCTGTGTGTGTGTATGTGTGTGTGTGTATGTATGTATGCATGTGGGTGTATATGTGTGTGTGCAAAAGAGTATGTGCAAAAGTGTGCGCATGCATTTTACCACCTATGCTTTTGTGATTTCACTTGACATTCATAATGCTTATTATTATAATACCATGCTTTATGGATAAATACAACTGCTGTGTGAGAGACTTGTGGCTGGAATGACAAAATGTAAGACAGGCCTGCATGCCCATTTTGTGATCCTTTGAAAATACAGTTTGTTTATTTTTTCAATATCTGATCATTTATGCCTACCATACACATGTATATTTTTTGTTTTTATCATAGCAGAGGCTCCCCTCAACCTTTTCTACCGAGCTGTAACTCACCATAGAGGATATGGTTAGATACACTACTATTTCCCCCTCCCCCCACCTGCTCCAAGTGTGCCCTAATCATCTAGCTTTTCAGCCAAATGGGGTTCAGTTGTTCTTTTTTTTTAATGAGAAGGAAAGACAGTAAAGAAAGGAGCTAGTCATTTTACTTCCATTTTACTTCATAATGGTGTTACCTGTTGTATGAGAAAACATGTTTTAAAGAAGCTGGAAAAGAAAAGAAAACTGCTGCGGGCACTGAAAAATAAGTAGGATAGTGAAAGGCAAATAATGAAACAAATGGGAAGGTAACATTAAAATATGAACACACAGCAGCTCTTCTTTACCACTCACCCTTAAAGGTGTTTTGCATGTTGTTGTTTACAGCTAGGCTGTGATGTCTAAGCCTTTTGGCCTAACACATCTGATTTCAGAAATCTTAAACTAGTCACCTTTCACAACATGCTTATTGGGAGCAGGGGTATATACCACCCCCCACCCCCCTTTTTTTTTTCCCTTCCCCACCCCAAGAAACAGAAAGTGTTGAAGATCTATCAACAAACTATTATGGAGAAGGGCACAAGCATGTCGTAAGAGTGGTTTAATTGGGAGCTTCCTTTGAAATCAGAGTGCATCTGCCTGAGAGGCATTGAACCAACAGACTGCATACAAATATGTCAAATCTGTAAAACTGATGTGCACACAACACTTAGGTTCGGAAGAAGACCAAAGTCCACAGATGGACAAACAACCAGAACTTTCTGCCAAAGTTTACAGTGGGTGAATATGAAGGAGATATGGTGCTAGCATACTATTTTTATAAACCGGTCAGTCTAATTTTAGAGAAATATGTAATCTACATATTATTAGTCATTATCCTCCAGTGACAATGGAAAGTTACAGCTGTAATAGCAATAAATATCATAACAGGTAGTGACCACGATCAAAACAGGCTGAGAATCTCTGATTCAGAATACAATTTTTCTGCTTTCAAGTTTCAAAAAAGGTAGCTGACAATGTTGTGTTGAGGTTTACAGCTAGACTTTGATATCTGAGTCATTCAGCCCATTACATCGGATTTCAGCAAATTAGTTAAGAGGCAAGGATCTGCTCTTTTCTTTTCCCTACTATAGGTCCCCACATCACACAAGGGAAAGAAGATGGGGAGACTTGAAAATTAGGAAACCTTTTGAAAGACTGATATTGTAATGACTGTCCATGCATCTTTCATGAGACTGTATATTAAGTTAGTTGCATATCCTTCACAGCAGGCATGTTAAACTAATGGTCCCCTGAGGGCCATATCTGTGTTGTCATGAGGGCCTCACAAGACAACTAACTGAAGCCATTTCTAAAAATATTATTGCAGAATGTTTTCTTTGTGTGGACCACATGTATGCTTGCAAAGGGCCGCAAGCTGCCCGCGTCCTGCCAGTTTGACTCGCCTGCGTTACAGGACGCTGCAGAACCAACCACAGGTTTTTGGGCTGTGTGGGTTTATATAGGCAAATTTACGTTTATTAGTTTGCCATTGCCTTCTGACAGATTGTATATAGTAAATGCATTAATAAATATTAAAATACTAACGTAGCCGTCTTACGAAAGTAGGGAAAAAAATTGTTGGGGGATAACCGTCAGTTGTAACCAAATAAATTTGCCGCAGATTCATCAAAACGTATTGTTTTTACTGCAATAATGATGCACAACTAGTTTTATAACCATGTCCCCATGGTGCGTATTGGTGCTTTTCACGTAAACAATATTAGCATAATTAAATAAGGGAAGTACAAAAACATTAGGCTTATTATCTTGAGCAAATCGGGAATGCAAATTGCTCTATTCCTATATCAGAAAACAGTCTGCTTAAAGCCTCCAGTTCTGAGGCATTATAGTGGTTTTTAAAGACTGGAAATGAAAATAGAGTTGATTTGAGTAACAGAGAAACAAGCCAGATATTGTAGCTAAATAAAAAACATGATACTTATAAACACCACACTGGCGGAAAAGGTCGAAGGCAGACACGTAGACGTTCATACACTCAGAAAGAACGACATCAAGAGACAAAAAAGCAACCCCGGCCTCTCGGTTTTGCAACTGTCATTAATAATTGTTCTCAAATGTAACTGTGTGTGCGTGCATCAATACTGTAGTGTCACAACCTGTGAACTGTCCAAGTGTTTTAAATAGCTAGGTGAATTATACCATCCCCTCGTCCTATCGCTAGCACGACAAAACCAGGGCTGCCGAAGTTGCTACTTTCGTATACATTAGGTGCTATCTTACTCTTGCTGGGCAAAACTACTTTTAGTACCACGCCCGATGTTTTAGTACCTTTTAGACATGTTGCATCAGTATTTTCAACTTTGGCACTGTAGTACTTTTTAAAAAGTGACTGGAAGTACACTTCAAATGAGCGTGATGCAAATCTCTCTTCGTTGACTAAATGAGATCAAAGTTATTGCTCCTGAGCATTACCTGCAACATGTGGAAGCCACCACAGTCAACAGTTTTGTTACAATCAGCGAAAATAAAATTTCACAGCAACGATGTCAAACAAGGAATTTCAATTTTGATCAAAATAAGCCATATATATATATATATATATATATATATATATATATATATATATATATATATATATATATATATATATATGTGTGTGTGTGTGTGTGTGTGTATATATATATATATGTGTGTGTGTGTGTGTGTGTAAAACGGCGAGTTAATGCTTTTTTAATTACGAATTGTGTACCTATTGGTGTGTTTTGATATCTTTTCACACACAAAAATAAAGCACTGTTCCAAAAATAATTTCGACAGCCCCAGTCGGAACTACTCGGAACAGTGACCTCGCTTGGCTGTCGGCAACAGGCGCCAATCCCATTCGAGGTCACCTGATTTGAACTAGCTTTGCTTTGTTTTAACGGGACTCGTGTCCCGGGTCCAGCCGAGACCTGCCTCTCTGATGATACCGTTCCAAGGCATCTGTGTCAATATGCTAGAAACCTACGTTTTCACAATATTTGTGGAGTGCCTGACATTCGTTTCTGTACGCTAGTTGTTGTGTGTTTACTCCATCTTTTCTGTTTGTACAGTGAATCTGTAATGGCGTACAGTATTTCTCTCTGAGTTGGCAGTTTCTTCAGATTTGATTATTCGTAATTTGTTGTTGTAAAGATGATTATGTCAATAGTATTATCTTGCTCGCTTTGCATTTTGTCTACGCTCTGCAAATATAAATGCCATTAATACTAAACCATTCCCGCTTTCTCTTTTTGTTATGAAATGTTGTTTGTTAATGAGGATAAAGCAACAACTGGGGGAGGGAGGAACGACAAATGGCTTTCGTATATATATATTTTTAAGCACAACAGCTTCAATTTTGCACACACACATACACAAATGAATAAACTGAGGCTACACAATGATCACCAGCCCATGATCTGCGTTAATCAGTATCGGACAGGTATGCCACGTAACACCACATGACCTACACTCTACCAGAGTAAAGGCAGGTCCCTCTCGTTAAACCTTAGAGAACCTGGGAGATAACATGGCCTACTTTCGTGCCCCCTCGTCACCCTTGATTGATAACTCCTCAACAGGTTGTGGTTAAAACCGTGACCTGACTGGAGGTCACGGCGAAGTAGCCCTGACGGTCAAAACAAATCCTGGTTCTGAATTTATAGACACCGGCGGTTTTGGGGCCAAAATGCGCTGTAATCGTCCTATCACTTTACGCAAGAAAAACCACAAGTTACTTTACAAGTATGCGGCGATTATAAATATATCTACACGAAAATGTTAAATATATTCTACACACAACTGAACAGTATTTGTAAAACCAATGTTTGATAATTCTAGCTTTGCCGTAACTGATAGATCAGCGCACAAAAATATAAACTCATTTTATATTTATATACTGCACTTACAAATTCATGGATGAACAGCATTTGAACGTAGACAGCTCTCTGTTTTCAATATTTTATCCACTATATATATATATATATATATATATATATATATATATATATATATATATATATATATATTATCGGTAGTGAAATTGAGCGCAAAATTTAAACCTATTGACTGCGACAAGAAGATGGGTAGTAGCCTACTGGAGTATTCTCAGCCCAAGTCCGGTGTTAACAGAACGCTATAGAAAGCCTTAACAAATTAAAACACCGCTGTTAAAAACATGTTTAAAAACGGGTTGCAACACAAGCGGTTTACTTACACTCTGGACCTCTCCATCTTTGTCCATTTTTGTCCTTCATGGTAATCCATCGAACTTCATAATAAGCGCGGTCAAAGGAGACAATTTAAAAGTGGTGGCCGGGCAGCGTGACAGCTGGGCAGAGAGCCGTTAGCCGTGCGTAGCTGATAGTAAACCCAGCCAGAACTAGGTTACACACGCCGCGATGATGATGATGATGACGCCACACACAACACCACCACGGCTCGGCATTGGACGCTTTTCCACGAGATTGACATCCAGCGCGGCGTTTTCATAGGCTGGCAACGGTCGGGGGCTTTGAATATGCAACAGGCTTTCGTTCCCTCGCACCGGCTCACCCGGCTGGGGGGACTTTTGCGTGTATGTTGTTATCTGGGGAGTCTCCTCTTGTCTTATTTGCAGTTGTAGACTTATCCTTTTTTACCCAACTAATTAGACACACTATTTTGTAAATATTAAACATAAATATTCACTTACTAAAAGCACATAAAACATGCACACAAAGGCTCTTTCCGTGTGCATGTATCTTTCTTGGATGTTCTCTTGGTTTTGTTTGTAGATTTAAACTTATCCGACTAGGGAGACTTTGCGTGTTTCGTGGGTCTTGTCTTGTTTGTAGAACCATTCTTCTCTAGTCTTGCTGGTAGTTGTAGATTTATCCTTACATGACTAAGGGGATATATTAATCTAAAAATAAAATAAAAACATATACATTTGTTATCATCACTAAATCAAAGCAAAGTTTCTCTCTCTCTCTCTCTCTCCTCTCTCTCTCTCTCTCTCTCTCTCTCTCTCTCTCTCTCAGTTTCTTGAGTGTTCTCTGTTTTGTTTGTAGACTTTAACCTTATTTAACTAAAGGAACTTGTATGTGCTTCTAGGATCTTGTCTTGCTTGTAGACCCATCTTATCCGCATCCAGCCTAGGTCCACCTAGTGGAGAATCGTGTATATATTGTTTGTATACTTTTGACGTGCTTGTAGCCTCACTCTCATCCGTACAGACTTATTCGACCATATATATATATATATATATATATATATATATATATATATATTCGCAGTCTTCTATTTGCCTTGCGTACCTCATGAAGCCTCCAACAAATTCTTCTTTCTTGCGTTCACTGGCTGTAAATTACGACGGAAAGTTCTGGCTGTTCGTTCATCTCTGGACTTTGGTCTTATTTAAGAACCTCAGTGTTGCTTGTACATCCGTTTTACAAAAGATCTGACTTCTTTGTTTGCAGACTGTTGGTTCCTTGCCTGTCAGACTGATGCAGTCCGACCTCGAAGGGGGCACCCAATTAGTTGACACTTACGACATGCTTGCTTGGAGGGCAGTGAGTCTATTCTTGTTTTCGCCACAATAGGACCACGAAAACCTACACAGGGGGAATACGTTTTGAATTAGTGGTTTATGGAACCTTTAGGTGCCTGCAAAAGTATCGACCAGATCTGTCCGTGAACAGTGTGTGCGTAACAAAACCGTTTTTTTTTTGGGGGGGGGGGGTGGGGTATAGTGTGTATTTTGCATATGGTATAATTATAAACGTCATGAAAGTTTAGAGAGAACAATAATGGAGGGATATATGCCTGGGAAGAGAGGAAGATGGAGGCCAAAGAGAAGATGGGTGCAGGATGATCTCCAGATGAGTGTATCGGACGCGGGACATCTTGCTTGTGATCGAGAAGTTTTCTGGAGGGTTGTTATGGAAGCTAGGTTCTGTAAAGGACACGCTACTGACAGACGGATATAGTGTGTGGAAACTGATGAGCGATATATTGTTCGTAGAATAAGGGGTGGCGGATGAGGAAGGCGAGTGAGGGGGGGGGGTGACATTGTGTTCAGTAGCAGTCCCCCCCCCCCCTTCTCCAATTATCACAGTAAATACCTTTTTCTGGAAGATTGTGTTTACGTGTTAATTTACAAGTCTCATAACCTTGTATGTGGTGCTATGATTTGTTAGTGTCTTTTAACGGGTTGGCCATCGCCATGAGTTGTGAGTCCCATGCCACCCCCTAACACAATATAACACTTTCGTATGGAAGGAGAGGTGCCAACACAACAGGAATTAAATGCCTGCAACTGTTATTATTTTTCAGCTGGTATTGTTCACGATCAAAATACCATATTGCTACGAAATGTAGACACTTTTTAATACATGCAAAGTTTTATTCTTCTAATGTTTCTGACAAGCACACACAAATACAGTATGTCAATAGAGACCAGAGGACATATTAGCCAACACACGCAAAAGTGAAAAAATCTGACCACTGCTGGTCAAAGACTAGTTCCCTAGTACATTAAAATACAAGGCATTGATAACTTAACGTTCTCTACACCATTGAATTCATATCCGTTCTCTAGCCTAAAGGCGTCATACTTTTACGATTCTGCTAGACAATTGCTTTATTAAAATCCTTTTTTTTTTCTTCTTCTTCTGTTTGTTAATTCATCTAAAACGCAGGCGCGTTATGAGCAAACAGTCTGTTTTAATAAGAACGTACGGGATAGTCATTAATTATAAAGATTCAAGATCTTAGTAGGAGAGTAAATTGTGCTACATGCATCGGAACCTGTTGAAAGAAAACAGCTGATTTAAACCTCTAGCTCAACAGACATGTTCCAAGGGAAGAAACATTTAAATCAAAAGCGGAAACTGTCACGTGACATTTCTGATAACTCTCTCTCCCTCCCCCCCCCCCTCTCTATCCACCTTCTTCTTTAAAGATATAGTCAGAAATGGAGGCTTAAAAATATGCATCATCTAAGTGGAAAACTCAGGTCTCAAGTCCATCTCAACGTATTCCTCTCGTAACATTGGTTGCATTTCCCCCTTTTCAAAACAAGAGGGGAGAAAGGGGGAGAGCATGTTGAACCATTCTCGCCGCGAGTCACCATCTTAGGTCATCAGTATTTATAGCAACCAGTCGTATGCGATCTGACCTTAGGGGATTCCCGGGCATGGAGTCGATTTTAAAACCACAAATAAATGTGCTGATTTGATAGGGCTGGTTCTGTGGAGACATCGTTGTAGGGTTTGGACAAGATCCCAGCTGCAAGTGGCTATTGACATACTTTGAAGGAAGAAAAATGAAACACTGGAAGTTTTGTGGTTATTGTTGTTGTCTGCAAACAGGGGTTCTCAGAGTAGTGTGTCATTTATATAAACATCCCACAACAGGCACCCCCCCCCCTTTTCCGGTAGTGGAAAGAATATAATTTCATTTTTAGCGTCTGTGCGTATAAAATCCTCACCTGCACAGTCGTGGCGACAGCACTAGCCATGCGGCCGGTCATCCTCAGGTTCCGAACCCCCCCCCCCCCCCTTACACCGCGAAAGTGGTATAATAACGGCAGTAATTGGCATTTTTATTTTTGCGTGCATGTGTGTGTGTGTGTGTGTGTGTGTCAGCGTAAGATTTAGACGTGATGATGTTTTAAGCTTTAGATAGCCCTGAGACCCCATATTATTTTAAATTACACTAGCTAATCATCTCTAAAACCTGTAAAGTATATACGCCTTTTAAAAATATGGATAAAGGAAATATGTTGCCGTTTAATTTTTATTATAAGAAACCACATAAATTATTTTATATAATACTCTAAAAGGTTTTGAGTTATAACTTTAAAACGTTTTTTTTTTTTTTTTCATTTTCCAAATGCAAAATAATTAATTATGTTGTATATTAATGCAGGGATAGACCTCGATATCCATAAGCGTATACAAAGGAGTTGTACACATTACAGGAACCGTCTAGATCAGTGTGCCTCAACATTTGTACATCCACGACCCACCAAAACAGGGGAGATTGTTTCGCGGCCCACCAAAACAGGGGAAATAGTTTCACGACCCACCAAAACAGGGGAGATTGTTTCACGGCCCACCAAAACAGGGGAAATAGTTTCACGACCCACCAAAACAGGGGCAATTGTTTCACGGCCCACCAAAACAGGGGTCATTGTTTCGCGGCCCACCAAAACAAAGGAAATTGTTTCACGGCCCACTAAAACAGGGGAAATTGTTTAACAGCCCACCAAAAGAAAGGAAATTGTTTAACAGCCCACCAAAACAGAGGAAATTGTTTCACGGCCCACTAAAACAGGGGAAATTGTTTCACGGCCCACCAAAACAGGGGAAACAGCCCACCAAAACAGAGGAAATTGTTTCGCGGCCCATCTGACAGCTTAGCGAACACAGAAACGAAAACAAATGTAGATATTTTGTGTTAATCCAATGTCATAAAATTATAACCAACTGCTGTTCCTGCATAAGGGATATAAAATCTGACATGCGTGGCTGGAGTGTTGTTTATGATAGACAAAGCGCAGTAATATCCGTTCAATTTCTGTGCTTGGTTTTTATTACTGGCATGGTTCAGAAGGTCTTTTCACATACAAAGTGAGTCGAGAAAACGACCAACAGTATGATAGCTTTATAACTCACAGGTGGATCTTATTTTTCGAGTGATGTCCACATTTGAGACAATGGTGGCAGTTTATGTCTGTGCACAAGAATGATATCAAAAGACAACTTAGGTTACGGGGCCCTGTTGTAGGGAAAACAAGAACAGACCACTGCCTACCCAAAAGCATGTCGTAAGAGTCGACTAACTGGAAGCTTCCTTCGAAGTCGGAGTGCATCTGCCTGAGAGGCAAGGAACCAGCAGTCTGCATACAAATGAGTCAGATCTGTAAAACGGATGCATACGCAACACTGAGATTCTGGGACAGGACTGCAGTCCAGAAGTGGACGAAAAAGCAGAACTTTCCTCCAGAATTTACAGCTGGTGAACGCAAAGAAGAAAAAGAAAGAAGAAGAAGAAGACAACTCAGATATCTTTTTTTTCTCTCTCTTGATGATCAAGTACCCATGATCTCATTTCTTACAGCAAGGGATTATTAATCCAAAGGCTGCTGCTTTTACGAGGCCCCGCATTTTCAGAAAAATAATGGTGCTTTATTAATATCCTACCCCAAACAGGGGATGTCCACAGGTCACAGGACAGTCTAATATTTCAGGGGGTGGT